ACAATAGCTAATAGTCCGTACATAAGTATATCCACACTACGGGACTCTCACTGGACTATGGAGAGGGTCTCAACCTGAATAGAAGACAACATGCAAAACGCACCCAAGTGGGCATGAGTACTTAAGCCTAACAGGGTATACCTCAACCAACATAGCCAGCTACGCATCCTACCGCATATACACTCCCTAACCATCGACTCTGAGACTCAAGCTCATATCGCAGTACCATAAATATATATTTAAAATCCTATCTTATCCATCCATAATACATCCAGTTAGCCATTCAACTTCGTCAGCTGCACTGACTAAATATAAGTGGGATTTTATATTTATAATCCGTTCCCTTATTCCAAAATAGGTAGGATTTAGTATTTTGAACTAATCCGTCCCTAGTATGCTACAGTCCCATACCGGTGCATATAATCCAAACATCTAGCAGTTGATAATACAAATAATGACAGTAAATATCAACTAATCCATAACAAATATAACAAGAATCCATCACAAGTATAGCAAGAATATGTATATAACATGCTTGTTTTGTACTACCGATACATGATTCTCCAAAAATTTTAAAATACAGAGAATATGTATAATCCATCCTTTAATCCACTATAAGCATAATAATAATAACATCAGAATTAACATGCTCACTCAAAACCATTCCACAATATCCAATAAGTTGATAATATACAATAATTTGTAGTTATCAACTAAGTTCCCATTAAGTATAACAGAGATTATAATTATTGGCATGCTTATTTTTATCCCACTGCGACATGATTTAAAACCATCAAATCCCTAAATCAATTGCTAATTTTAAAATAAGGAACTTGAATCATCCGCATCCAAGCCAACACACAAACTTTTTTAAGAGTTTCCTACTGTTTCCTATATTAGCTTCCTATGGTATATTATGTATTACCATGCCTTCTGAAATTTTAATACGGGTTTAGACATTACTGAACACCCCCAGAACATCTCCTATTTCAACCTGGAACTTCAAAAATCCAAGCACAGTAGCCCAGGTCTCGCCGAAAACCATAAAACATTAAAAACCCACGAAGGAGACGGCTCCCTCAAAGAAGGAACCGCCTCCAAGGCCCTTAGAGCCGGCTCCATGCTTTCATGGAGCCGCCTCTTTGTGAAAGAGAACCTGCTCTCTTCAACTGAAAGCCGGTTTTCACCCGTTTCCTCACCTGTTTCGTCTCCGGTGAATTCCATTGATTCCGTCCTTCTCTGTTATAGTCTCTAATGGTTTTAATTAGGTTCAGACTTAACCAGAAAAGATTTATCCAACTCCTTTATGCATTGATTAACAACAATTCAAACACGTAGGTACACAGTCGAACACAAAGACAAGCAACTACAATTCGTTTCAACACATACTGCTTTAATAAAATTTAAACATGCATAAACAATTAATTCTTATGTTTAATGATTCCGGAACTGCTTTAGGCATGTAAAGAACACGAGTAAAACGGAAAGAGTTAAGATTAGAACTTGCCTATGAGACTTTGGTTCAAAATCTTAGCGCTTCTTCCTAAGGTTTCCAGCGATTTCTACCGTTCTCAACTCCACTGTTTCTTCTGCCTCCAGTACGTGCTTAGGGTTCTAAAATCCTTGGCAGACTTATACCCGTATATATATAGGTAGTTAAGTTTACCCTAAACCTAGTCCTAATACTAGAAGGAAAAAACTAAAAGTATAACTAAACAACTAGTCGGCCACACACAATTTCATAAAATAACATAAAACCCTAAATATATTTTACTCAATTTAAATCAAGTAACACATTATGTAATTATTAAAATTAACCCACATAAAACAGATTAAAACAAATAAATCATTTAGCTAATTCAATCAATTAAACCAGTTAACAATTAATTCAATTAAAGACAACAAATAACAGAATTAACTCCATTTAAATAACAACAATTAGGCAAAATAAGCAAACAATCAAATTAAATTAAAAAAAATGTAATAAAACAATAATTAAAATACCGAGACTATCCTTTTCAAATTAGGGGTATTACATATCCCCAACAACTGGTATCAGAGTCGATGGTGGGTCAGAGCCTATGATTGGTCCTGAAGATTAGTAAAAGAAAATTGGTGCGAAAATTGTCAGAGTAGAAGATGATCATGACGTGCTATGGAGATTCAATCAGAGTTGATGTGATATGACATGAGTTATATTGATGGTGTGAAGCCCATGAGGAACAAGTCTTGGAACAAGTTAAAGGATGCTCGTTTTTAAGATGGGGCAAAGGTGATAGAAATGAAACCCATAAGGAACAAGTTTTGGAGATAAGCCAAGAGTAAGTACTAGTTATCAAGATGGGGCAAGGGGTGTGAAGAATGAAGGGTTTGCTCTAAACCTGATAAAGAGTAAAGGGGAATATGAAGAGTGAAGATGAGAGGTTTGTTGCTTTGATCCAGAAAAGCAATTGATGAAAATGAGTTGAAGATGGTGGATTGTCATGGGTGAGCAATTGAACACCAATGGGATGGATAGCAAAGATAAAAGAAAAATAAAGAATAATGAATCTGAGAAAATGTGGAGATTGTGAGAGTGTTTCTCAAGTTCATCATAGTGCTTTATTTGAGGTGGAGAAATTTTCAGTTGAGGTAGAGCTATGAAGAGCTTAAGGTGGAGCTATGAAGAGATTCTTGTTCTAGGTGGAGCTATGGAGAAGCACGTGAAGATATAATTTTTAGCCAAGGTGGAGACTGTTGGGTTTGTGGCTCAAAATTTTTGTGCAGAAAATTAGTTTCTTTTTTCGTTTTGGAAGCTAGGTTGAAATTTATAGAGGAAATTGTATCCTATTATGTTTCTATTTTAGAGTTTCGATCATTATGGTAAGTCCTTGTAGGCAAATTGAGGAATACTTGTTCAATAAGGAATTGGGTTTGAAGACTCTATAAATATAAATGGGTGTGAGAAGTTTAGAGAGAGAGATGAGAAAAAAGATATAAGGGGTTTAAGGGTGAGTATTGTGAGGAGAGGGGAGAGGATATGTAATTCCTGAGTGTATACATGTAACCTCAAAAGAGATGATGAGTGAGTGAGTGGGGTTTTGACATGTGGTTGTATATTCTCTTCCTTGATTCATAATAGTGAAATCTCTCTCTACTATGGACGTAACCCTAGAGTTAGGTGAACCATGTAAAATATTGTGTTGTGCGTTGATGTGTATGATTGTTATCTCCATATATGCTTGTGTTGATTTGATGTGATGGTGCATGCTTCTGCTGTGTGTAATGAATGAGAGATTTAACTCTCAACAACAGCCGACCGTTGAGTGAGTTAGAGGGAGTTAATTATCCCCAACTTCAACTTCCTGAGTTGACTCCTTTCCGGAAGGGAAGGTGTGGATCCTCAATCCAAGTTTTGATATTCAGTTTTGATAGAAGAAAACGGAACAGAAGAGGAGGTCTTTATCCTATGTCAAAGGTCCAAGTTGGATAACTTTCCAATAGCTTAAAGAAAAATCTTTAGGCATTGATTTCTTTTATATAGTGGTCTCTAACCCCTTTTTTTTGTTTGTCTCGTTTAAAAATAATTTTAATTCTTTATTTTGATCCAATTATTGAGATAATTCAAATGACATTTTCTTGTTTTGGGATCTTTTATCTTTGTTTTGGATATTTAGGTTTAAACATTACTTCGGCAATCCTTATTCCTTTCACAATGGTAGCAACATAATTTTTTTTTTTTTTTTGATTTATTTCTATCAAAGAGTATATTTAAAATAATATTTATATACTCTATCTTTCCCCAATTAAATGTTCACCTTTTTATTTTTGGATGTCCAAAATAAATGTCCCATTTGAAAAGTCAAAGTACTATTTTTTTTGTAACATTACCAATTTAACCTTATTGCATTGAACTTATAAAAAATGAACCATCACATTATGTGGACCAACTATGAACATATTTGGTAATTCATTTACTACCAATATAATAAATAAAAAAATATTAAAACCCATCATCTTAGAAAGTTAGGGCCTGCTTGGTTTGTAACTTTGAAAATAGTTCTCAAGAATTCAAAGAATAAAAAATTATTTTAAGAAAACTATAAAAGACAGATATCTAAAAATAGACAATTTTATAACTGAATTTTTAGAAAATTGAACCAAGTTGAGTTTTTTGTACAATTTTCTACTTTTAATATTTTGAAAATAAAAAACTGTTCTCAAAGTTACAATCCAAGCAGACCCTTAGAATCCCGAAAAGGAGACGTTTAATTTGGGACGGATGGAGTATATTATTAAAATAATATTTATATAGTATTGAAATTCAGGTTCAGGTTGGACTCAGGTTATTGGCACCTCTACCTAAACGTCACCCTAGTTAAGTTCGGGTTTAAACTTAGTTAAGGGCACATTAACCCAAGCTTTACCTAATTAAGTTCGAGTTGATAATTTTTAACTCAAAGTCCAATCATAATTGTAAAAATGATTATCCAAGCTCGTGAAAAGTCTAGTCTATCAGGGCCCATTTGGGGAGCTTCGTGAAGCCTTAAAAAATCATTCCAAGTTTGAAAAGTGCATTTGAAGAAAATTGTGACATTTGGTTACACATATGTAAAAGACGGGAGCTTCGTGAAGCCTTAAAAAATCATTCCAAGTTTGAAAAGTGCATTTGAAGAAAATTGTGACATTTGGTTACACATATGTAAAAGACTTTCTCGAAAATCTCATTATAGAGAAATAAGAAAATGTTGCTTTTGAAACTTCTATCTCATTATAGAGTAATAAGAAAATGTTACTTTTGAAACTTCTTTCTTTGAAGCCAAATTTTTTTTAAAGATATATTTGTTATTTTAGTAATTTATCCATATATTTTTCATAGATATATCGACCAGATTAAATTAACCACAATGACATTTTATTTTGTCAATTCGCAATAATGAATACATATCAACCTAACAAACTTGTAATATGCATGCATCCATGCACTTTTTCCAAACAATATTTCACGTGTTACAAACAAAGACCTCAATAGTTACAATGGGAATTATGAATTTAGGACCACACGAGGGATGCACTATACATCTATCAACTAACAAATTTCCAAGAGTTGTTTAATTAGTATATAATTTTTTTTATTTTTTTTTTAATGGCAAGAATACACTCACACACCAAGACTTGAAACAATCCTAATACTGGAAGCAAGTAATTGTAAATCCTACTAGAGAAACCAGACATGAAGATATTTACAAACAATAATTGAGAAACATAGCTAAGCTCTCATCACTAAAGTTAAGGAGTGGTGCTCAGCTGAGACTTATGACTGAGCAGGAAGACTTGCTACAATTATTCTTGCAGGAAATCATACATGGTGTGCAAGTGCATTCTCATGACCTCCGTTAGGTGGCTGCTATGTCTTCTGGGTTCGGCCTTGGCACTGGCCTTGTAATTGTTTGCTGCCCTATAGTGGGCTACTACATTGTACATTAATTTTTTCTTTATAAAAGCTTACCTTTTAACCAAAAAAAAATAATTGAGAAACAGAGGTTACAATTTTATGAGTAATACATGCGACAAGAGATCGAGTATCTTTTTCAAAATGAAAACCCTTGATGTTCAACGAGAAAATACTGGTAAATCAGTTATATATCTTAGCAGTCGTCAAAACTCAGAGAGAGAAGATCAAATTGCCAAAATTATCCCTAGTTTTATGCTAACAATACTATAATTTACAAGAAGCTATAGCATAAAGGCATAAACTAGAGAGCAGCTGAAATGCCTGAGATGGAAAGACCATATTAACAACGAGAAAGTATTCGGTACCATGGGTATCAACAATGTAGTACATCGACCCGATAGTTAGTTTTTATTTTCCATAATTAAGAAAATAGTAAATATTTATTGGCCGAGAATACTACATAATAGGTACCCAGTATTCAATATTATTCCGTTAACATTTTCAGGTCCTTGATCTCCCTCGTGATCGCCGGAATGCAACTCGAGCTCCTTGCTATGCCACCCTTATTTGGTCCACCCCTATCTCTAGGGCTAACAGACTTAGCCCTACCTCCATTTAACCTTGTGCTTTTCTTCAGTAGTTCTCTCATGGCCTCGGCTTGGTACAACACAGGGTATGTCCTACCAAACCTACTGAACTTCACACATTCACTCATGTGCTCACTCAAAGCTTCTTCTCTCTTCCCTCCATTCTTCTCCATCTCCTCCTTCACTGCCTCAGCACACAGCCCACATATCAACTTTCCGGAAAACTTGTCGCGGACACGGTTTATGTACTCCGGCGTGCACTCTTCACACATGCCACAGCACTCACACTTGGCATCCTCAACCTCAGAAATTGGTGGTAGTATTTTTGCTTCATTGGCTTCTTTGCTTAGTTCTAATGAGATATCAGATATGGTTCTTTGGAGATTTTCCATTGACAGTTTTGAGGGCTTCTGGACAATGTTGCTCTTAGTGTTAAAACCAACAAGAATCTCTCTAAATGGTGCCATGACACAACCACTCAAACAACTAGAAAATAACCTTTTTCAAGGAGATGAAAAAGACCCTAATCGGAGAAAGTAGAGAGCTAGCTAGGTTTGGATGACAGCAAGAGTGAGAGTGGATTTGAGAGAAATTGAAGTTTTAGACAAGTTGTTGAATCTGAAGTTGATATCAAGTAGGAGATGGTATGCCCCTACCTTCTAATTTATATTGTGTTACTACTGTTTAATTTTCCGTGGACAGTTAAACTCTCATGCTGGCATTGATTGTTTGTTTGTGTGTGTGTGTGTGTGTGTGTGTGTGTGTGAGAGAGAGAGAGAGAGAGATCCTGAATCACCTGGATTTGTCATGAAAATATGGATGAAAAGCCTCTTTTGACAACGGTAGGAACTTTAGGAGTTATTTTGTCATTGCATGCAGCTCATGCAATGCACCTAGCTAAGTAATGTCTTGTTTTTTTCTTTTTCTTTGCCTTTTTCAAATCATAAATTTTGAACCTAAATGGAGTAAATTGCCTTCATTTAAAAGATTTGTATAGTATGGAGTTTATTGTCTTCATTAAAATATCTGTATAGTATGGAGTTTATTGTCTTCATTAAAATATCTGTATAGTTGGAATGATTTTTTAAAATGCAATACTTGTCATTTTGAATTGTTAATTGTGATGCTGAGAGGTTATTGCCAAACCTTTTTACAGTCCTATCAAAATGGTACTAAAAATATTCGGTGAGTTAACAGCTAGCTTTAGATGCATAAAGTGGGAGCTCCCACCTGTTGCATGAACTTAAATCTCCTCCCATGGAGGGATCCTGTGTTTTGGTTATGTGTCGATGGACACCGTGGTACAATAGATATTTATAAAAATAAATAAATAAATAAATTTTACTTGCCTCTTTTGAGGTTTGTCATCCCATAAATTTTCTTTATGTTTCATAATCTCACTTACCTCTCCTAAAATTTTGATTTATATAATAGATTTTTCCTTATCGGATCATTTTGCTTTTCTAATGCCGAAATAATAATAAACTTTTGATGAGCAAAACGGTAAAAAGTCACTTACAGAGAATATAAGTGAGATTATAAAACATAGAGAGGCCTATATGAGATATTGACAAACTCGAGAGAAGTAAGTAAAATTTATCTAAATAAAAGAAAGTTGTTTGGCAATGTAAAATAATTGTCGCAAAAGTGATGTGAATTATTGTATAGGCACGGGATGACGAGGCACATATATTAGGGCTGGGTGCCTTTGGATTGGGGCTACTCTTTTCGGTGGGTTTCTCAAGTGTTAAAAGCAATTTAATTGGTAGGGTAAATTGACATTAAGTCCTACATTTGTTTTTTTTATTAAAAGACAAAAAAAGTTCTAAAATATTTCTTTAGGACCATGCTTCACTTTATCAATGCCTCAGTCTAACTAACAAAAAAAAAAATTGGGAAACCAAACCAAACTTTGCCTCACTTTTTCAATTAATGCCTCTAGCTAAGAGCAAACTTAAATGGTAAACCAAACTTTGCCTCACTTTTTCAATTAATGCCTCTGGCTAACCGCAAACTTAAATGTTATAAGTAGAGTTGTTGTTGTGAGAGAGAGTGAGTGGGGATTTGATGACGAGATGATTAGCTCAGTGATATCAATCACTGTAGAAATTTCATGGGCATTGAAGAGATCAGATGGTCCACTTTTTGTTGGAAGAAGAGGAAAGCATGATGATGATATAAAATCCACTTTTAAGATGATGACCAGTTTGTCCAATTGTCCCCAGACAACTTAAAAGATAGATCAAAAAAACGAAAACCTATATCACGAGACAACAAACCAGACCACCCATCATTAACTAAATGAAAAAAAATAAAAATCTAGTTTAAAGATTAAATTCACGGGTATCCTGATAGAACAAAGACAAAGTGGTTCTCTCTTCATCTTCTTTTTCCTTTTTTAGTTAAGTATATTAAACGAGAAAATAACTTTTGTTTAATAAAAAACTAAACAACTACAAGACTTTTAGAATATATTTTTTTTTTTTGTTTAATAATCAAGTTAAAAGAATACTAATTTATCCTCAAAAAATGGAGGACCAAATCGAGAGCCAAATCCAATGTATCCACTGATTTATTTTCAAAAGAAAATCAATTTTCCTACACTTGTCATGGTCGACGAAGGGTGCACAAAAAATCATTAAATGTATTATATATTTTGGTCTAGTTCTATGATGAAATGTTTCGGTTGTGATTCAAAAAATTAAATAACTATTGATAACTATTTGTCTTTTATTTAGGGTTAAAGAGAATGGGACCATTCAATAGTTTTAATATATACATAAAATATAATGGTACAAATGTTTGATTTTTATTAATAGATAATATAACTTACTAAATGTTAATTTTTCATTTGAATACATTTGATTAGTATGAAATTCTATGAATATGTGTGTACGTGGTTCCGTGTTTCAGAAATCCAAAATTATAGAATTGAACCAAGTCTGTGTCCATTTTTATGGATTGTGTATAATTGTTTTTTTAATTATTTATAGAAGCATACCCATTTATTTAAAAAAAAAAAAAAAAAATCAATCATTTACAATTCGGTTTAATTCAATTTTAAAAATGTTGGGACAGATTTAGTTCTAGTTCAACTCAAAATGGACTCATGTCAAACTCAAAAACATGGACTGAACTCAATTTTGAAAGGTCAAAATATAAAAAATGTTGACCAAAAACACAATTTTTAAAAATTACATTTGAAGCATTGTGATGTCACAGTTTTTAAAAACATTAATGATACTTTGTTTCGAAATTGCTTTATTTGTCAAACATAATTAGAAGTTAGATTAATAGATGGAGAGAGTCGAGATTTAACACTTCAAAATTCACAGAGACACTAATTAGAAGTTAGATTAGAAGTTAGATTAATAGATGGAAAGAGTCGAAATTTAACACTTCAAAATTCACAGAAACACTAATCCTACTTCACTATCGAGGCATTTGCATTCATTATCATTATATGTCCAATATAGCATGAGACTATTTCACTGGTTCATATAATCATATCAAATTGACCCAATTTTTGGATATAAATTTCAAAATGTCCAAGCTTAAATCACATATATCATATGTGTTTGGTCAAGTATTCTACAAAATAAATAAATGTAAATCCTTCAAAATTAAAATTTTTAAGGGAGGCAATATTCGTAGTCTAGTTATCTAGGTTTGCATTACAATTTTAAATGAAAATGGTAATTATAATCTTAACTTTATTATTACTCGTTAAATGGCAATAACTGTACTTTCTGATTTCTTCCCCTTAGCTCTCTAATCGTTAGTAATATTTTAGGTCACTTTTCACAAGAAAAAAAAAAAGTTGAATAATATTTTTTTACAGGACGGAAAAAAAAAAAATTGTTGGATAAATTGCCTATTTTGGCAGGACCAAAAAAAATAATGAAAATTTGTAACCATTAAAAAAATTATCTCTTTTGGCACGAAAAAAACTTCTAATATATATATATATATATATATATATATATATATATATATATATAGTGAAGAAATTATATCTTTCATTGAGATCCAAAAAAAAAATTAAAAAAAATGTACAGAAAAAAGTGGATTCAAATTTTTTTTTTTTTAATCTCTATTGAATAAATTATTTCTTTTGATAAGAAAAAAAAAAAAAAAAAAAAAAAAAAAACACAGAAAGAAGAAGTTATTTCTATTGAATAAATTATTTCTTTAGACACAATATATCAAAAATTAACCAAAAAAAGTTACCTCTTTTCAAAGGATTGAAAAAATAAAAAATAAAAAAATGTTAACTTTATTATAAATTATGTGTTTTGATTGTAAAAAATAAAAAATAAAAATAAAAAAAAAAAAGAAGAAGAAGAAGTTATTATGAATAAATTATCTCTTTTGATTGTCAAAAATAAATTATATGTATGTAATAAATTATCTTTTTTGAGAGGATCTCCAGAAAAATTTTAAAAAAAAAAATGTATAGCAGAGAAAAAAAAATACTAGTAAAGGAAGTAGTAAAGAAGATGAAAAATAAAATAAAGTTGTATAAAGGATAATTTTGATATTATAAAATAAGAGATGGTGCATTAATAAATTCAAAGACTTTCGGTAAGTGGAGTGTGAATATCGCATCCCATTTTTAATTAAAAAAACTCATTATCTCAAAAATAGTATTGTTCAAAAACTAAGAAATGCTGTAGATAATTTAGCTCATATTAGGGGATTAGTGGGTAGAGTTAGGGAGGGTGAGGGGGCAAAAGCTCGAATATAGACTTTCAAACACAGGAGTAATCCAACCAATCGGGCAATACAGTACTTGTCTGTGGTTAATTCAGCTAAAATGAATATTTGGGAGAGTTATTGTAAAGCTCGACCCATTAGCTAAATGGGCTGCCAAATGTGTTTGAAAAGCCCAATAGTTTTATATATTCCTACACCAAGACCCACCAATTGAATAAATGAGTTGACAACTGACCACTATAAATGAGTGGTACACGTTCATTAGTGAGGCCCATTAAAGGTCATTGTTGTGGGGTTCAAAACTTACAGTCATTTTAATGGCGGGCCCATCAATCTCAATTCTCCACCTCTTGCTTTGCTTTTTTAGCCCTCAATTTCTCATATTTCTTTGTTGTACTTGTAGACTTTTATTTCCATATCACATATCATTCATCTTGTCAGGATGGTGATGTTTGGGGTCTGTTTTGTTTTTATTATTTATTTTTTAATAAAAACGTGACAATTCATCTCAAGATAGTAGTCCAAATGTATAAATTTTATTCAATTTTTTTGCTTACGTGTCAAATGATATTTGACCAAAAGTATTTAAAAATTTCTCATTTTTCAATACCACCGAATTTTACATGAGGTTAAAGTTTTAGTTTCAGTAAGTTCAAAAAGTAAGTGTGGGAGTTTTATGTAAAGGTAAAGTAATAATAATAAATAAATAAATAAATATGGTTTAATAAAAATACTTTTACAAAACATGTAAGTCAATTATATCCCTTTCCTGTCCCCATCAAAAAAATAGAATTGATTGTAATTTGGTCATGAACTTAATCATTGATATTCATTCCCATGCATATGGAGTGGATGTAAAGATACTTTTTTGTTTCAAAGACCATAGAAGTCACATTCTCACCTAATCTCTCCTTTATAGTATTTTTTTTTTTTTTTTTTTTTCTCTTTCTCTTTCTT